TCGCTTTTTTAGACATTTCATTATGTTATATGACTTTAGGCCCAGTGGCTGGAAAATGACAATTATTTTGCTCCAGCAGCTTGCTATTTAAGAGAGACGCAGAATGCGTTGAGTGGCATGTGAAGGAGCCATAGTGGTGCACACAGCGAGAATTGCTCACAGAAACACACACGGGGTCTTTATATGTCATACACACACACATAAACGTAGAGCGATTCAACAAGCGTGCTGGACTATGGCCGGGGCACGTGACGGATGGTCCTTTGGAGGGAGTTCAGAAAAATATCAGTCAGAGCAAACTAATGCCTTTTAAATGTACCCAGCTACCTTTAGCAGGCCAGCTTAGTGAATTAAAGGAATATCTAATGACAGTTTGTTTGGCCCTCTCATAAATTCCAAATAAATATATATGAGGAAGAGAGAAACATACACCAGGCTAATAGAAACGAATGAACTAGTCAACCATAAATTTGCTATGCGAGATACGCTTTTTCTGATTGGAAAGGGCATCCGCTATCTGCAATATTGATAATACTTTTCAAATTTCATCTGCTTTTGTTTGCATTATGGGCTGTCTGTTTAAACACACTGGGAATTATAATGAAGCCAAACATTATCTCTCAGTTGTTCAAGGCTGAACATATAACTTTATCGTAGAAATGATTCCCAGTCTTTGGCTGGGCTGTATCTTTTCCACTAAAGCCTGGCTATCAGCCGGTGACAGTGAAGCAGCCAGTCGGCACTGGCTTGTCCACATGTGCCGGCCAAGTGCCGTGAAGGTTCCCGCTTTTGTTTCACTCAGCTATTTCATGTATGTCTATGTGTGTTAGTGTGTGAAAGAGGGAGCAAGAGATAAAAAAAGAGGGGAAAAAACATGATTAGTGGGGTCGTTTATTAACTTTGTAGGGTGTATGTGCATTTTCAGATTATGGAATTCAACTGGAGGGGAGCAGTGGTGTAGTTATGGACCATCAATACCATCAGTCTTTGGTAAATTATGCACCATACCAGCACAAGACAACCACTAGGGCCCTTAAGTTCTGGGTTCTGGTGGATGCTAGCACACTGTTTAGCTTTTGGGAAAATTGGAAGATCTTAGGCTGGAATAACAATGTATATACAATATACAGTAGTTTATTATATTCAGGAGGCTCATTTTGTATTTCCTTTGTATCGTTTTTTATTATTTATTATTGTATTCATGCTACTGTTTGTAATTTTCTTCTTTTGTATTGTATTACTGATTGTTTCAACTCACTGTTGTTGTTTGACAGTGAAACTGCAGATTAAGGGGTTGGGGGTCATTGACAGGGGTCTAAAGCAACACTTTGTTGGGGGCTCCTGTCAATGCATTGATAAAAAAACCAAAATCACATAAATGATAGAGACATCAGCAGGTTTATTAGGCTGCGGTCACTTTAAGACCAAATGCAAAGGTAAAATATACTGATAAAATACTGACAAGAATTTGATTACTTTCCCATCTGTATGTTCACTTAAGACATATCTGACTGTGTTTAAGTGCAAACTCGCTAAGGCTGACATTGCGCAATCTGCGCACTTTGCGTATAGGGAAAACGTTTTACATCCTGGACGAGTCAGTACAAAGTCATAGCCAGTCTTCTTATGAGCTGACAGATTTCACAGAAAATCATGTAGTGTATGATGGGCACAGACTTTTGATTTTTTTAGCTTTAGACTATGATTCTGTCCAGTCAGAGGATATCAATCATGTTTGATATTTTGAGCCGATTTTAGAAAACATTTTGGTAATAGTCCACTTTGATAGTCCACTATAGTAACTGTGCAACTACATGTCAACTACCATTAGAGTATTAGTAGACTGTCTGATTAATATCTGCTAACACTTTATTTTGATGGTGCCCCAACACATTCTACTAAATAGAAGTAACTCTGAACGTACTTATTCTACTAACCCTAACCTAACAGTCTATTAATATTATAGTTAGTTGACATGCAGTTACAAATTTACATATAGTTAGTAGAATATCTAAAGCTGACTATCAAAATAATGTAAAAGTGTTCATAAAAACCTGAAAGTCTGGTAGTGTGTGATTCTCAGTCGTGTAGTGTATGATGCCCAGCGTATGTTTTGTTTTTCCTCTGTAACAATTTACAAATTCGGCAAATATATGATGCCTAGTATTTTACAGTCTTTCCAGATTTTACAAGTTGTGTGTATTCCACTTATGGTTTCATAGTCCTTAAAACAATGGGATTTTTGAACATTGAAATCATGCAACTGTGGTGTAGTTAGTTTATAGCCTAACTTTAGCTTTTTGCTTGCAATGATTATATTTAGGCTTCAAAATGCATAGATTAGGGGCCTGTTCTTCGTACGTCGCTTATTACATCCGAGATGAAATGTCACATCCAAGATGATATCATTGCGCTAATCAGGATCTGGCTAATTCGGTTCTTCGAACGCACCTGTTGTTGATGATTAGGATGGCTGGATTGAGTTATCTGAGATAATTGCACGTTTATGGGTTGGTTTAAAAGGGGCTATGTATCGATACTCGAAACCACGATCAGCAATGCAGCGATTGGCTGGCGGGAAGACAGCAACGTCATGACATCATATAATTAAAAAAAGACACCTGACGAAAAACTTGACAAATGTTTGGACTTTTATAAGGAAACAGCCAAGCCGAAGTAATAATTTTATGAAGCATAAATCTTTCAGTGAGTAAAACTAGCTGTGTCTATAGTATTAAAGACTACACAACATTATTATATTATCTTTAAATACATTTTTAAATGATTATTATTTTAAATTATTGCGATGTACGAAGAACAGGCCCTAGCTCTGTGACCAACAAAAGTTTGTTTTCTTCATCAAGATATTTTCAGCTATAATCCAAAAGCCAATGGAAAAATGTTGTTGGCCTTTTGGGTAAGGGAACCAGGGTGATGCTAACTTCTGGGTTGGCCGACAAAATTACATCATCCCAGCAGCCCTCAATAAATTTTTCATTTAATATCACATATTAATGTACTTTATTATATATAAATAATAAATAACTATATATAATTTATATAAAAATGTTTTACTCAAATGCTTAAAAATACACAGCCAAAAACTAGTGCCAAAGCTCATAATTAGCATGACATCCGAGTCCATTCATTCCTACTGTTCTGTCACTATGAAGTGCAGACAGGGTCTATTCAGCTCACTCTTCATCCTCCTAGTGAGAAATGTGTGGTTTCGGCTTCACTCCAAATATATCAAAGGCAGAGCTGTCCTACAGACATACAGCTGTTCTGGTAGTTAAAGAATGAGAGAAAGAGAGAAAAAAAGTTAAATTCCCACCATGGACACAGACACATCACCGTGGGCCTGTTAGATCAGTCTCCACCACAAGCCCCCTGGAGACTAGGTTATCGGGCACGGTCAGTGCCTAAGTGGATGCTGCGCAGCCCTGGGCGGTAGAAGACTCTCAGCCTGATTGTGCGGCTTTTAAGGGAGCACGAGAACTGCCTGTGCCTCGGCGACTGTGCGAGTTGGGACAGCGGGCTTACAGTGTGCAGGAATCACAGCGCTGATATTGTGCCGAATGGCATGTTATGCATATTCACACTGCCAGTACTATTATGAGGGCTCTTCACAGCATGAGAGTGGCATCGGGACCCAGCTTCCTCTTGTACGATGATATTTTTTCAAGTAATGCTATTCGGAAGCTAACCTTCCCAAGCTGTACACAGTAAAAGCACTAGAGCCCGACCGATATGGGTTTTTTGGGGCCGATACCGATATTAGGGAATAAAAAAAGTTGTAACACACGTGGTTTGAATATTTATTTTACCATAGTAAAATTAAAATTCTGGTTTAAGTAAATTTTTTATCTCAGTTTTTACTATTCATTTAAAATGAGACAAATCTGCTATTATTTTAATCTCCAATCTGTTATTTATCAGTTCAGATAGTTTTTTAATGCTTTGATAACTAGCAGAAGACACTAACCAGTTTTAAATTCCAGTTGTGCAGATGGGGCACGTTGTAACACTGCGTTACAATGTGCTATTCTGACATTAGCGATGTAATTTACACTATTTACTTTAATTTTAATGAGAAACAACGAGAAACAGGTGAATAAAGACTGACAGTCAATGTTTAATGTTTAGAAATTATTATTTCAAGACATTCGCGCACTTTAATGCCCTTTGAATGTAATGGGTACGTTCCCTTGGAACTGGAATCATGGCGGAATTTCATGTGAAGTCCACTTCGCAGTGCACTAACGGTCGAATAAGACAACGCTTGAATGCTGCCTGAACAAGAGACCTCCTTACTATAGTGAGCGTTGACTGGTGTCACTATCTCGCGAACGCGCCGGCGGATCTCCTCCAAATTCGGGGGATCCTGTCAGCTCGAGGAACCCTCTCGAACGCCACCCTCCGCGCGTCGGTAGCCCCCCGGGATCGCTAGATCGGTCGGCGCCGGACCGCGAATTTAACCACCCGTAACTCCCGAACCCCGGGGGCTATCCACGCGGGGGGCCACCCTCCGCGCGTCGGTAGCCCCCCGGGATCGCTAGATCGGTCGGCGCCGGACCGCGAATTTAACCACCCGTAACTTCCGAACCCCGGGGGCTATTCACGCGGGGGTGGTCTCATTCGAAAGAGGGCCTCGAGACGTACACTCGATTCGCGTTCGAGAGGGTTCCTCGAGCTGAATGGATCCCCCGAATTTGGTGCGGATTTGCCGCGCCGTTATGGAGATGTGGCCGTTCAAAGTTTCACTGGTTTTCCATAGACTTCAGCTTTAAAGCGTTTCATCCAGGTGGCCAGTAGCAAACAATGGAGCGCGCTCTGCTGGACAAACTAAGTAATTACACCATTTCAAGCATTTTATCTGCATTATATGTTCTGTAAAAGAACATTTTCATATCGGCGGCGTATTCGCCGATACCGATATATCGGCGACAGGCTCATATCGGCCGATAATAATATACGAACGTAAGTGATTACATTAGGCTGTTGACGTGCTGCAGTCACGCACCAAGTAAATGGCACAAACAAAACAAGTGTGATTGCAAAGGCTCTGTAGACTTTAGCCCTTCCTCACAGTGTTTTCCAAAATGTACCGATAGGCCAATATTCCAGACATTCGGAAGCAGGCTTTGTTGAGGTTAAGGGTAAACACATGTGGCTCAAACTTTGGATATGTTTCAGTGCCGTCTTCTGATTCCAGCATCTTTATCCCAATCCTGGCAAACAGAAAGGAGTCTGTGTCCAGAAGACAGCCAGGACTCTTTCTGTTTACCCATGACTCTCACAAGAGTCCTTCTGCTACCATCATCATCTCAAACAGCTGGGGCTTCATATAATACACCATAATACTAGTCTGCGCATGTTTCTGTGCTAACGCATATTCAAAGTAGATTTGAAGGGTAAATTGCTTAATGATTTCTGGGAAAACTATAAATTGGGGTACCAAATAAGCACCATTACTACAATTTGATTACCATGCAATTGAATTAGAGGGTAATCACCATTTCTATATATAATTATATTGAAACGCAATACAGGATTAGTTTATGCTGTTGGCTATGGGGAGAAGATATGACCATCTAAATAAAAGGTGGAAGTGTAAATCTACAGCTTTTAGCTACCCATTAAAGAGCAAAACATCTTTTCCTGAAAACTGTCACACAAGGGAGAGAGGCTCTAAAGCTCAGGCTGAGGGCAGTAGATTATTGAAACAATGCTTCATCAGACAAACACTGAATCTCTGTGATTGGTACTTGCATCTGTGCAAGTGTCATCCAGGGTCCCCATCATGTAGAAGAGCATAGTTGTGAATCCACGGCTAGCTCATACAGTACCCTGTCGGGGGGGGTAAAAATATTTAGAGGTATGTCAGCTTGTCACCGAGGCAGTATCTTCAAAGGTTGGGCGGCACCACCACTGTACCTTTGTAACATCAGTCTGAAACATATTTGCACCTTATCTATGTCTCTTCAGAAGTCACAAATGCAATCCAATATTTGGTCTTATATATATATATAAATAAATGAACAAAATGTGCACTTTAAAATATATTTATAACATGCTGCTGACAAAACATGTGTATCTTCAACTATACAATGTCTTATGAATAATCAGACAATAAATGATTAATCAAAATTAATAAAAATAATCATTTGTTTGGGAATCGGTCTACAGTGGGAGCACTGTCTGTTTTTGATTCACTAAAAATAACCAACTCATAAGATTAATTTGTTTAATAATCATATTACACTGGTTGTGCTGCATGCGTCTGATTCACAAAAAAAAAATAAGGCACACCTACTGTACCCTTTAACATCAGTCAAAAACCATTTGCACCTCATCTACCCTTAAAGGGTGCATATTAGTAGGCGTGATATAAATATCACCAATACACAAAAAATTAATTACTATAAATTATTCTAAATAAAGAAATAGAAATTATGCTATTAGTAACAGTAAAAATATTAATATAAAAATAAATATTACTAGTACTATTAGTAGTACTACTACTACTAATAATAATAATAAGAAGAAGTAATAATACCTATTATTAATAATCATTAAATTAATAAATGCATAAAACATGCTGACTATTACCATTATTGCTAAATAATAATATCATCATCATCCTCATCATTATTATATAATAAAATAATGTCAAATTATGCCAAATAATATGTAGTTAATATGGAATGTTTTTGGGGTGTTGATGAAGGTATACTTGGTATACACTGAATGAGGCTATGAGGGAACATAAAAAAGGTTAGGAAACCATGTAAAAGTTGTTATACCCCTAAAGTGTACATGTAACGGTAAAGATTGATATTGAAAGGCTGGAAACATGTAATCTCTACAAGCAGCTATCCACCAGTCAGCAGTGCAAGGTAAATGCATTAACGGAGCCTGATAGGACAAAAAGCCACAATTTAAGGATTTTATTTGTCACAAACAACCATTAATCCCATACTGTATTTGCTCACGCAAGAGTGACTTCGCTTTCCTTTTCTGCAATGCCCCATGGGATATGTCAGCTATCACAGAGATTGTGACGTCCTTGACAATCATCCAGATGTCTTTGTGCTGTGATGGAGGATGAAGACTCGTGTCCCTCAAGCTGATGGGCATCAGGCAGGCCTCTGAAGAGTCTGCGTTGTCAAGTGATGGCTGAATGAAGAGGGGAGTGCTGGGGGGCAGAGGAGAGACACGGGGCTCCATTAGTGCAAGAGTCCTGCTCCAGGCCAGCTCGTCAACCCAAAGCCGTCCACATTTTAATACACTTAACATGTACATCAACACATTTTACAACAATACTTCAAATAAATATGCATGTTTATAAAGTGATACAAATGTAATACCTTTAGATGAACTACATGGAGTGAACCAGTGCTCTTGAAACGCGCTGAATCCCGCCAGCACTCTTCGCATGTGCTGGTTTACTTAAAGCACACAGGACCAATCAAGCCACTGATTACTCAAATGGGCGAATTAAGGCTCATTAGACTCTAAGTCCTAACACCTGCATGCAGTACACTCTGCAATGCGGCCAGGGCCACAGCTTCTCTCCCACAGCACGCGGCTCTGCTAGCAGTCAACACTGGCCCCAACAACTGTCCCAGTCATCGGTCCGCTTTTGTTCCCCACCCTTCACACTCACAGAATGTGAGCAGACTGGGGACGTTGTGGAGTGGCCCAGTGAAACAGAATGTGCCATGCTAAACAGGCTTTATTAGAGACAGATTTCTGATGCTAACAGCAGCATTGGAGACAAAGATAAAGAACAGGGATGGGAATCGTGAAGAATTTAAGATCACACATTTAAGTCTGACACACAACACAGTAGTCTAAACAAAACAAAGAATCATACTGTGAGCAATAAACCTAAATAACTACATCTGAATTCAAAATGATGATATATACTAGTTTCTATTACATTTATACATGGTATCATAACTAAATGTTCGATTTTACAAATATGATATTATAGATCACTGTTTTCACCATTTTTCCAACAAACACACCCTTTATGACATTGAAACTTGTGTATCATATAGAATTCAGAGTTTCCCACGAGTAAATTGATCCCATGATTATGATATTTCCGACTTTATTTGAGAGGTGCAACAGTGGGTGTGTCTCGTTTTGAAGGCTATGAAAATTAACCATGGTTTTACCACAAATAAAACCAAAAAAACATGATTACTTAAACCATGGTAAACGCAAATTAACCATGGTTTTGCTACACTAACCATAGTTTATCCATGGTATTTGTAGTAAAACTGTGGTTATACAAATGGTAATCAATACGCCAAAAAAACATGGTTACTACACTTTAACTACAATAAAACCATAGTCGCATATGCCATTGAAGATGTCTCATTTCATAAAAGTGACCATTACATTCCAAAGAAAGAAAGGAATGACAATTCCTCACAGGGAAGAGTCAGTTTTATAGTGGTTAGTTTTCTGAAATTAGAAATCCTCACTGACATATGTGGCTAACAAATGCGACCTCAAGAGGGTGCATGCTTTGAAATGAGACACAGCTAGTAAGTACGTACTCTGATTAATTAGTTGTTTGATTTACTAAAAGAACTAACTTATAATAGTCATTTGGTTAGGAATTGGACTACAGCTTGAATGCACTACGCTTTTGATTCACTAAACACAACCAGCTCACATAAGTCTTTCACTTGGGAATCAAACTACACTGCCCACTATCTTTTTCATGCTGTATATTCAGCAGTGCTGCTGTGGCACCCCTGAAAGAGTAGTGCAGGACTGTTTTACTGTCGTGTTCCATCCACATCAGCCAAAGAATATACTGTATGTGCAAAAAGCATTTACAAAACACCATTCTTTTCCATTTTTTTAATTAATAGTGGCTGTTAACAGTTTCTTGCATGTGCATTCTTCTGCGTTCTCGGTTCCAGACCGTACTTAAGAACACGTCTGACCTGTTGTCAGTTGAATTTATTTAATGCTTTGCCTGACTAAGTCATGTTGTACTTCATGACTTCAAGAACCTTGTCTTGGTGTTCATGCTAAATGTTTTCTGCACCAGACGTGTAGGCCAACTGAGAGAAATCTTTCACTAAATGTCAAAGGACTTTTAATGAATGTCTGCTAAAGTTTGACCTTACAACAGCAGTTCAGCCTGCAATGTGAACAAGAAGCACAAGCTGTTCGATTAGACCCGTTTCAAATCTGTATGGCTCCTAATACAAAAACTTTATAACAGAACTTCAGTGGCCTCTTGTCCCTGGAAAATGCTGTCCATTCCAACCATGTCCACTGGCATGCACACAAACACAGGCTCGATTTTCGAAAAAAAAAAAATAAATTTCAACAGTGCAAAAACAAATAAAATATGATATCTAAACCTTCTGCAATAAGGATAAACCTCGGAAAATGTTTATGAAAAATAATCACCAGGACAACACATGCATGTGGTGTTTACACTGTCGCCAGTGTCGCAGCTATCCCACATCTCCGACAAACACAGAGGAGGGGGCAGCCAGCAAAACAGGAAATATCTGTTGCATATTATTTTAAGTAACTGTTCAAATTTCATTTCAGAATGGTAATCCACAAAACAAATACGAAGAGGCATATTTTAAAAAGGGAGGCTCTGCTTCAATTTCCTATTGTGGTGCAGAACGTGTGTTTACTCTGTGTCTGTTTGAATTGATTTGCACAGCTCGGCAGACAGCGGCTGAATGCTGCGACCAAGAATCCATCATCTCATGTGATCTGATAGTTCTGCAGTATTAGATTGATTTTCCTCTCTCCTATCATCTTTCCCTGTCTCTCGCTCTCTTTGTCTGCTTTCCTACCCATTGGCGACGTTAACAAACATGCCAAGTTACATGTCTCCCCATCTGCTAAAACAGAAACAGTCCCTTCTGTCATGAACAACAGATTAAGGTGCAAGAATAAAGAGTAAAGTGTTTGTGTTTGCATGTTACTCCTTGACACCAAACTTTACAGAGCACAGATTTAAGCCTAAATGATCTTCTTTGAAATATCCACTTGATGTATTCATATTCCTGCTGGATTTGGCCTTGAACTGCTAAGAGAATAGAGACAAGAGAAGGCTTAACTTTCCCAAACCATCTTAAGACTCTCGTCAACTCCTTAGAGCCATCGTGTGATCTCCATCTCTCTTTCCCGCTCGAGCGAAGTTTAAAAACACCTGTCACGGATTCAAAGCAGGGACTCAGCAGTAGTCGGGCAAGCGATCACCTCTCTGGCAACACTAGAGGGAGAGGAATTGGAAACGAGGAGATTTTTAAAAGCTCAAAGATCGTCTCATCGCTCTTCTTTAACCGTCAGCGAAGGCAGCAGAGACTGCGCGCAGGTATAAGCCCCACTCTCGCGTATACCTGAGACTTCTATTTTAAGCCCTCCCTTCCATACGGCATGTCAGACGAGCCCGAAATCCCTGTTAATACTAGTTACCTCTGAAACATAGATCTTACTATTTGGCTTTTAGCTTTGACAAGTTATTTCCTGCTCCCTTTGAAATAAAAAAGTGGAGTGTTCTGACACAGACTTTACGTTTTTGAGCTCATTAAAGCCGGGATCTGCCTCAATGCTACCTGGATTTTTTTACAGGCGCGATAAGCCAAATTAATATGAACTCGTCAGGGCCACTTAAAATGCTTCTTGTTATCCAAAGCCCTGAGCTCCTGCAACTTATCACACAGCCACTGATATCCTTTAAACTAGCAAGGTGCAGTCCTTTAATTAAAACTAGTAACATTCCCTTGGAAGAGGAGGAAAGGAAATGTAGAGGGGTGGACATCATAATTTATCACAGGCTCGAGTTAAAAGGAAGTGATTTTGCAAACTAAAGCAACGGCTAATACCTCTTAAACTGACATGCGTTCAAATGGGCCGGCGAAGAAACAAAGTCCCTGAGAATGTACATCATACGCTAAGCTGTGAAATACTACGTGTAGCATGTTCTCTGGCGCAACCTTTAAAACTGGCACCAAATGAAAATGGATGTGTGCTCTTCCTTTGTGCTACACCGAGCCGAGAGATATATCTTTATAATATCCACCATATTTTACTGATAATAAAAAGCAAAGCGCCACATTGCCACCGGAACACTTAGCTAACGTAGAGGGGAGAGGCGGCCATAGAAAACAATGTAAATCAATCTGAGTAATATTGCTTTAAACTTAATGCAATATACTCACTGCAAGTATAGCCGTCCTAATGTGCATTTACATACTGGAGATACAGGCGTATACGGAGTACATATGCCTATACAGACATCCATAAACACACACACAGTCACGGGAACACACACTCGTACGCACTAGAAGTCTATTGAGTTTTTTTTTTTTTTTTTTCTCGGTGATTTTGATAGCACCTCATTAAAATGGTCTCCTTTAATATCAGTGCTTAGTATATATGGGATTGTAAATAACCACTGGGGACGAGGAACCAATAATGAAATACTGTCTTTAATAGCTTGCCATTGATGTCAGCATAAAAAGTGCATAGATGAATATTGGAAATTGGGCACGCACACACATAGAGTCAAAAGCTGTAAATGATTGCATATTTAAATAGAGCTGACTAAGGCAAAGATGATATAGATATAAGTAATAGGCAGAATATTATGCTGACCTCACATAATGAAACTAAAAAAAAACACTGTTTTAAATTTTATATTGGTTACACTTAATGAATAATAGATTCCACGGATTTTGTTGTGCACTGCATGATCTTAATAGTATTAAAAAACTGCCTAAAAGAAAAGAAATGGAGCCGCTCTGCCCAGCTGACTAAACTGCCTTTTCAGCAGAAATAAACATGGCGATACATACAAAAGCTAGAGCAAGAGAGATGCCCACTGCTTTGATTTGATGGTGGTGAGAGCAGAAAGGGTGGGGTGCTTGACCTGGCTTATTGCTAAATATCTTAATTGCCCCACAATACGCAATTACCAGCTGCTCCAAACAAAGCATGGATTTAAACCCAAATAATACCCAGCTGAGGTCTGCTGACATTTTTTGTCTTCTTCTCTCAGCCTCTTGCCACTTGATTGACAACACATATGTGAGAGCAATAAAGGCATTTGCATCCAAACTGCAGGTGCACCGGCCCTTAAATTCTTAAATGTGGTTATTTCCTTTTAAGTTTGAGTGTTCTTAGGTTTTAAATACTTGTTAAAATCCTGCATTAAAAAACAAAAACAGACCAGCAACCCTTTGAGAGTATGAAAAACAATGTTTCCCATATTTACCCACGGTCTTTCCCTTAATCAAATACTAAGTCAAGTTAATTATTAGTGGGGTTTTTTTTCAATGACTATGAAGAGATTATACCATCAGAATGGACATTTCATAATCTTTTCAATTTTTGCTGAAATATGGCCAGCTTTTTTCCTCAAGCTGTCAGAGCCATCCTAAAGGTTTTA